TATTATTGATGTGCGGTGTATATTTTGATTAACACCATAACGCACAAAGATGGGTTCTCAAGGTTGAGGTAACAAGTTAGTTTTTCTAGCATGAGGGGGAGACATGATAAACAGTTGAGAAAAAGTTACGTGGAATGAATTATCATTTGTACATCTAGATCCTCGAATAAGATAATGTGAACTTGAAGTTCATAAAAGATAATTCATCTGCAATATATTGCAAAGCATGTTGGACGCATTTGCTGACCCAAAGAAAACAACTATATTCTCATTGCAAATGCTTTTATTAAGTCCTAGAAGGATAAAGTCTATGGTAAGCTTAAAGCGTATAGACAATCGGTTTCAAATAAACATCTTGATAAAGAAGATGAGCAAATGATCATAATAAAGGAGACAAGTGATCTAGAAGATCACATGACATAATACTTCATAAAATCTCAAGAGAGGTTTAGGTACCAGAAATGAATGAAGAGATCTTTATGTTATGTCTTTATTAAAAATGTTGAAACCGATATAAACTATTTGTCGACAACATCTATGATACCGCTAAATATATATGAGGATCTTAAGTCTGGAGAAACAATTTCGAATAGAATTGGTTTCATATGAAAGACATGTAGTTCAAACACTTGAAAGTATAAAGTCAATGGTATGTGCAATCAGTTTTCGATATCTTATATGTCTAGCATGACATGAAAACCTGATATGCATCTAAAGTCTATTATATGGCTTATATGACATAACAATCCTGAAGGATTTAAATTGCTTAAAGCATATAGAATTCATGGTCATGAAGTACTACATCCTCAGTGCAATTCGTGCACAAATGTATCTTGCTATAACTATATGCATGATAATATGATAGCAAGAGTTTTCACCTCTATATGAAGACATTGAACTAACGATTCCAACAAGATCATATGAAGACAATTCATCTCTATCAAGAATGATGATTTCAAGGTGCAATATATTCATTCAAGTTAATATGCCTGATTTATTCATCAAATCTCTACCAAAGATCTTTTGAAGATGGTGCACAAGATTGGAATGCAAATGCTTAAGGATGTGAATTGATGCTCTCATTAGGGGAAGTTAATACGCGTTGTACTCTTTTTCCCTTACAAGGTTTTGTCCCAGTGGGTTTTCCTTGCAAGGTTTTTAATGAGGCAACCAAAAGGCGTATTGTTAGATATGTGTACTTTTTTTCCTTCACTAGAATTTTTTTCCCACTGGGTTTTATTTTAGTTAAGGTTTTAACGAGGCACATTATCTGTTGAATAGACATTCAAGGGGTAGTGTTATAAATAGAATTGTATTTATGGTGAATGTCTATATTTAGAGAGATTCTAGGGTTCATTGCTTGGTGGCTAAGTCACCATCTCCCTATAAATAGAGGGTATATTCTATTGTAATTCATCCCAAATCAATAAGAATTCTCTCTCCCTACTTTTCTCTGCAATATTCTTCTTCTTCTTTTATTGTTTTATAACAAAAATATTATTTTCTATAGCTACCTTTTATATTTTATAGCAAAATAGGTATTTACGGTATATACTATTATTGAGGTATGAACGCTATTTATGTTTTTCCTCTCTCTTTCTTTCAATTAACACAAATTCTCTCTCAAAATTTTTTTCTTTCTCTCTCTTCGAGCAACTCAAGCCCTAGTATTGATGGCCGACGAGAAAAAAGAATCTCTCTCTCTCTTCGAGCAACTCAAGATACACACCCTGGTATTGATGGCCGGCGAGACATTAGAATAGAGTAGAAGGCAGCCAGGAAACAGAAAAGAGTGAATATTTTGAACGGAAATGAGCAATGTGATGAACTCTTATCATAAATTTTTTGTACGGATCCGACGAACTTTCTTCTCTTCGTGGCCGGAAAACGCCATATCCGTCGAACTTTCTTCTCTTCTTTGCTATTTAATCACATACAATGATACAAATACATTGTATTCTGTACAAACTCAAACATATTGTATTTTTATATAAATATATTTTTTGCATGTATTTATGTATTTTGAAGATCTGTACTTTTTTAATAGAGCTGCATACACATGTATATGTATACTGTACATACAATATGCATGGATACATGATATAAACATTGAAATACACTGAATACAAACATTAGAATAGAATAGAAAATAAACAGTGAATAAATTTAATTTTAAAATACAATGAAATACAATAAAATACAGTGAATACAACCAATGAAATATATTGAATACAATAGTAATGACATGTTTTAAATACTGTTAATCTTCGAATACACTGAATATAAATAACGAATACAGTAAATACAAACATTGAATCTAATGAATGCTACAGTAAAAAAAATATTGAAACACACTTAATACAAAAGTTATATACAACTGAAAAATCATCCTAATTAATTGGGTTGATAATGAGGCATGTTAGAATTGATTTTGTTGAGTTATATTAGGAGTGTATCACGCTAATTTATATTATTTCCGCTATTAGACAGCTGGATATACCTATTTTTAAGGTGATTGTCGTTACTGTATTCATGAATACATGGCGCCAATACATGCGCGTACAGTTGGACTACCTGATTTTAGGTGCTTTTTGCTGCTGTATTCATGAATACAGCAGCGCGAATACAGCGAATACACTATCGTAACAACTGAATAGTAGCTATAAGAAATAATTATGTATATGATATCTATATGAAATTAATAGACACTAAACAAATAGAGGTTTGTGAAAATTCCTCAAACTTAATAGCCCAGCCCAACCAATACCGACCAAACCAACTATATGTTCCCAGCTCACAGCGCCCACCCAAGAAATTTTACTAGTATCCTTAAAACCTGGACCTATTCTCCGGTCTCCTCTGCCACTAACTGCAACAACTAAGGCAAAATACAAAAAAATAGAGTGCTTTTGTTGATAGTTGAAACTCAAGACCTCAGCTTACTTAGCAGGTGCTTTAACCAACTAAGCTATGAGAGCCTGTTGCTTTCTCCTTTCAATTTAAAACAATTGATCTTTTGTTTTAAGAATTTGCTATAAAATTTAAATATAAATACGAATGGTAATATTTCTGAAAGTATAGCTACGGATGATAAATATACCATAAATATTTAACGTGTCACGTAATTTTTCTAAGAGTACAGACATGACACCTCCTTCCAAAAGAACCCGAACCAAAATATTTTTTAAACCAGCAATGCGGAATGTCCAAAAGCCAAATTTAAAGGAAAAGGTAAAGGCTCGAAAGACGGCATACAATTCGTAAAATATAGGTTCTTTTGCTCATTCGTAAAATTTTTGTGTTTATATATAAAAGCACTTTTTCTAGCTCTAAAGAGTTGAAAAGAGAGTAAGCCTCGTACTATCATTGACGTCGCTCGGTTCGATTTGGATTTATGATTTGATTTATTGATAAAAAAATTTGGACCAAATTTAATTTAAGATTCGCGGCGGTAATTTCCCAACCAGTTGGCGACCAAACAATTTAAAACATTTCTATCAACAGACACTACTTTATGGGAATCGGTACTTTCGCACCTCTTCAACTTAGAATGTTTGGCTTGCCTCAATTTGCATAGTTTTCAAAAAGCAAAACGTCGTAACAGTGTAATGTGATTTATTGTCGTCTGTTGAAGTTCTGTAGTTTCTATTACCGGTATTACAGAATAGTTGTTCCGTTCGTTCTATCCTGGGAGGAATTAGTCCAATAACTTTAAGGGGTTAAATTCCTTAAGGAAACACAGTTTTATGTTGAGCTCAGAACATTTTAATTCTCCTATTTCTGTTTCTGTTTTACTTTTGCAGAATATATTTTTGAACATGTTAATTCTGTCTTGATTTCTTCTTGGAGGGCTTTGAGAAGAATAAATACCCGGGAAGAGTTTGAGAAGCTGAATGCATGAAAGGACCGAGCAATACGATTTGGCTGATGAAGAAGTTGAAGCATTCCTGCAAGATGAAGGTGAATGTGCTTCATTGTATTTCAGAACACTCCTAGATACTCTTCTGCCAGATCTTTTATTTTAAAATGTTGTTATATATCCTTTTGTTTTTCTTAACTAGTACGTAGCTTTTGATCTCTCGACTGCAGTTCCTTTTTAACAAGTATGTCGAATATGAGAAGAGAATTGAGCCTGTGAAGAGGAAAGCAATGGAATATGTTGAGAGTACACTTACTTTCTTAAATATGTACATTTCTGTATTCATGAAAATGGTTTCAACTACTACGAAAAGGACCATAATTTCTTGAAATGGTCTAGAGTCTATGTTAGTACAGGAGAGGAGATGTTCACAGCATTGTCTTGATAACTACCCAACTTTTCTGCCACGCAATGCAATTTGAACTTGTCAATTATATTGTCAGCTTTTTTAATTTAATGAGTCTATCACATCCTCTATGTATGATCATTTATTCCTTTAGGGACGTAAAAGCCTTGCATTCAATTCCAATTCTACTCTTGCAACTCCTGTTTTCAGTTTATCACTAACAAAAGGGATCATGACCACCCCTACATGAAGTAGAGCAATTAAATCAAGGTGTCTGTTTCTTCCCTCGCACAGTTCAACTATTTTACAGGGTATTCTTGCTACCTCCTACTCACATAAGTATTGAGTAATGTTGCTCAGTACGCCTATACAAATAGAAAGAAATCTCTTGGCGTTCTGATTTCAATACTCTGTTCTACACTGGGGGCTCTAGCATTTCAACCAGAAAAAAGATTAGAAATCTAAACTGGCAACATCATGCCAACGTGGAGTACAACCATTTGTTGCTTCCAGAGGTCAATATAAAAACAGTAGCAGGAAGGGTAAAAGAATAGAAGAGGCAAATGGCAAACGTTTGCGCAATAAGGCATGTGAATAAGAAAAAAGTTATCAACAAGAATTCTGTGGTATAAGATATATTTACAATTAACTGAACCTACTGGGACCCATATTATACAGAAAAGAGTCCTTAACCCACCCACCCCCCACCCCCACCCCCACCCCGCCCCACCCCCACCCAAAAAACTAAAACACCCCGTGTTCCTCTCGGGAAGCAAAGGCATCTCACGTAAACTAAAAGATTGCCATACAAAACTGTGTATGGACAATGATCACGGAAGAGGCACCCAGAAGCACAACCCTGCAAAACTATTTCTGCCACTCCCACTCCAAAGCCAAAACAAAGCAGAATAGCCTGGCCTGTGCACAATATTTGATCCAGCTTCAAACATCATGTGTCAATCGCAGATCACCTTGCTTCCAAGAATATGAACAGATGGCCTTCGCACAGGCAATTATCTGGAGGAAGGCTGTAAGGCCACTTGATTGGCAGTCAATGGAAGACCAAGTTTACAGCTCTCAAAGCATCAGAACATATTCAGTTCAGGGCATAATGAACACGTTCTAGCAGCCGCACAACCTGATTGACAGTAACTGGAGGAGGAGATTGCTTTGAATTGAACGTAATTGTGTTTTGTGCACCAAGAGGCAATGCTAATACAGCTTCTTGTTGCATACTAGTAAGCTCCAAGAACTGAGCAAGCATATCACCATCCAGAGCTTTAGGTGCCCTAGCCTATAATTGGAAAAGGCAAAAGACCGGCACAAAGAATAATGAGTGACAGTTTCAAGCATATATTTAAACATCATCATAAAAAGCATGGCCCTCTAGTTTCTGCAATGCAAACCTAAAACACCTTGTCAAGGAAAACGAGAACTATAGAGAGCAAGAGTGAAAGACTGTAGTCACAGATTCCTCTTGTTTGCATTTCCATTTTTTTTTCCTTGTGTGATATGGAAAATCCTACTCCAGTAACCCCTCCACCCCTTAGGAGACAACATTCACCAATGGCCTTTTCCCACTTTTTCCCTAGGTGGCTTGAACCGCCAGCCACATGGCAGGAGGTGAATGGTCCTTTCCACTACGCTATATCTCCCGTTGTCCTTGTTCACATTCTTATTGGGACATTCTATTTGCACTCCTCTGACATGAGCACAATGAGCAGCATGTGAATTGTAGCATTATACTTGAACAAAGCAAAAGCTTTAAATAGCCAAACGCTAATGACAATTCTTTTAAAAGAGTGTGAGACATCACTATCTAACATAATAGTCTTATCTAATGACAATTCTTTTACAAGAGAGTGAGACATCACTATCTAACATAATAGTCTTATCTAATGACAATTCTTTTTCATAAAAAATCATCACGCTTGACTAGAAACTTCACCTTGTAAAAGCCGGAATTAAATAAGAACTTCTTTAAAAAATAATTAAAAAAAAAAAGAACTTCAAAACAGTTTAGATATAAAATAAGAAAAATAGATCTCTTACCAGACTCCCACGACAGCGAAATTCAGCGTGGTCATTTCCCAATATAGGAGCAGTCAATGGATGGATGACAAGCCTAGCCTGTACCGCTTCTAAGAGATCATATTCCTCCCTATGAGAAAGTAAATCTCTTCAGAGGTCGTTTAACAATAACTTCTATGCAGAGAAAATAGATAGTCAATTGAAAACACTGCATTTTGGCATTCAATTAAAATACTTCAACATTTGATCCATGTTAGGAGTAATTCTCTTTTTGTACCAACTTACCCATCTCCTATTTTAATGTCACGACCCAAATACACGTGATTGGCACCCGGTACACTACCCCACCCAAATGAACCAAACCATATGATGTACCCCAACCATATGCATGAAAATCAATCTAACCGGAAGCTTTTTGAAACAGTGTAAATACACTCCAGAAACTACTTATGACCACTTGCTTTCCAATTTCCCAGTCACTGTTTTCCCTCCCATTTCTGCAGGACAGCAAGGAGTGGGGTAGGAAGGGGAAAAAACACCAGATAATACTTACAGAGACTAAGAACTCCTAAACCAACTATAAAGCAGGAACATCTAACTCGGATTGCCCGACACTAGCCGTTCAAAAGAGTAGTTGAATTCAATCAGTTTAAATCTCACGAATCACGAGAAGTCCCAAAACTGGCATTCTAATACTCCAGTAGAGTCAACATGCTGAGACAGCTCAAAATGCATATATTAATTATTTAACATCTTGATGAAGAGACTAAGCTGATTGTCACCGAGGAGCAAAAGCAACCACCCAAATGTTATTATCAGATGATAATCATATCCAAAGTTTGCAGCTAAGACAGTAGAATAACAGACTAAAAAATGCATGTAAATAGTGAAATAAAAGGCACAAAGTCGAAGAATGACAAAGCACATCCTACGAAGGTGAAGATGAACTAAATTTTTCAGGTAACATGAACAGTAAGTTTGACAGGATAATTGTGAAATACCTAGTAAGAGGAATGAAAATAATTATGCTCCCTAAAAGTGTACTAGCCATGATACTATTTTGTGATATGTCACCGACATTGCGGGCAACTTGACAGCCCTTAAGTGCATCATCTGCTGGAAGTTTATAAGAGAATGACCCCTGCAACAAATAATAATTCTCAAATCAATTGAGGCTGCCACCAAAATTAAGCCAAGGTGATAATGCTGCAGCATTTTGTCCCAAATCATCAAAGTTCATATCCCATTCCATCAACTGTTAACGATTTTGTCCCAATTCATCAAAGTTCATATCCTATTCCATCAAATCATTTAAGACTTCTTACAAAATCAAGTGAAGCCAATATCACTAAATATAGGAGTATTGTTTTTTTTTTTTTTCAAAGAAAGTGAAGGTGCTCGAGTATTGATTTTATTTTAACCTAAGCTTAAATATGTAAAAAATTAAATTCAACTTAAATGATTGATTAAGAAGAAGTATAAGAATTATGAATTATTAGTTTTCTTTGGAAATTACAGTTGAATACTGTTAAATTAAATATATAATAAGGAATACAATTTGTAAAGCGAAAAACAGATATTGATGAAATCAGATAATTTGCTATAGATGAAAAGAGTTGAAAAGAATTTTGTTCTCTCCATCTCCCTCAAGCACCAAAATCAGAACCGAGGAAATTTTTCAATACTCATAACCTCACCCGTGTCACCACTGAACACCATACTTGTTTTTTCTCAGCTTGGGGCATCATCTAAGAGAATACATAAATGTTAAAATAGAAGATTCCATAACTGGTTCAGTGGTTCGTGACCTTGCAATGCAGTAAAAGGTCTTTTGTCTTTTCAGATCCCTTGAAATATGAAATATCAGCTACAATCAAATTTTCTGGTCTATCACAAGTTCCGTGGTTCACGCCAGTGTCGGATTTGCCATCTTCTATATATCCTATGGTATGCATTGTATCTACTTTCTGGACCACAACACCATAAGGCATCCAACAATTATCTCCTATAGGAAAGTGCACCTGCTTTCCACTGACAAATATTATATATTGTTGTCTATGTCATTTATACTATTTCACAAGGACAAAATAAGAAGATGGTTCATTAGAAGGTGCATTATAGCGTGTAAAAGTTATCATCTTTGACAAGTATGGTCTAAACCCATCATCCAAAACTGAACGGCTCCAGCCAAATGCTTACCTTTCGAACTCTCATAGCTATCTCACCCATGTAGAATGAACAAGTTAGAGCTAGATTGCATTCTGGACTGGAATTATCTGTAAAACAGAGCCATATTTTCAAAAAACAAGTAAAGGATTTAAATTACAAATAGTTATTAGAGGAAGAAAAGTATGAGAAAGAAAATGATGAGGATATGCCATAAGAATCTCAGCTAGTGAAAACAGCAGAAAAGGTAATCATAAGGCATTAAATATGAACAGAGATCCTGATCTTTCTTTTCCTATGCAGTTGTATTTTAGAATTTGGAGTTTACATAGATATTGCAAGTTGAATTTACCTTCTGAGTGATTCAAACATGATAAAATGGATAGACTCCCCTTTCGATCTGAAACAGCAGCTGTGTCTACATCCATAAGAGTGCAATCAGCAACTAACCTCTGGACAGGGTCACAGTAAACTTGCTCTAGTTTTCTCGCATCCTGATCACAAGACAGAAGAAGATGGCTTGTAAGGCAACAAAATTTCCAAACCTACCAACGCAAGGTGGTAATATCTGATACAAGTATTTTCATGCCCCATGCAAACTACAACCTAGAAAGAGGATTTCCAAATTTCCAGCCCCATAATGGAATACAAACAACCAATTCCCAACAAAACATACAACAAGTCAACAACAACAACAAACCCAGCTTAATCCCATACGTGGGGTCTGGGGAGGGCAGTGTGTACACAGCCTTACCCTTACCCTATAAAGGCAGAGAGGCAAAGAGAAGGGAAGTTTTTTAAAGTAATCTACTCTAGCTACTTACCTCTTGATACGAATAGAAGAGGACACCATCACGGCAATCACCAACAGCAATTCTAGTGAAGTGTGCAGTAAGAGTCATGATCATGAAACGTGTTCTCCCTACTGCTAAGCGTCTGACTCTTTGAGCATTATCATTTGGAAAACCACAAACATAAAACTGCGTGAAGCATGAAATATATTTTAGTAAGAAGTAACACTAACTTTGCGAGAAAGTCAGTGTATGAGAGTTATTTCAACGTACACAGTTGCCCGCAGAGGCCAAGAAATAACGATCAAGGTATGGGCAGACTGCAAGCACCATTCCAGGCCAGGTGGTTGAATAACCTAATCTTAAGTGCCATGCCTCACTTTCCTCAAGTTTAATCCCGTCACAGCTGTTATCGTCAGGACTGCTACAAAGACTACTGCTAGACAGCTGTTCAGCGGCATATCCACCAATCTCACGGAAAGGTGAAGTACGTTGAGAAGACGATCCAGCCCTTGAAGAAAATGCAATTGACCCACTATCCGAGTGTTGCATTTGCTCGATGCAAAGAACTATTAGACGGCCCTTTGTGCTGTAAAAAGTATCTTTATTAAAATAATACAAAAACATGCAATTCATTCATATACTTCAGACAAACAAAGATCTACCCAGATAAGATAGACTATTGGGAAAGAAAATATAAGCAAAAACAATGTATGCTTTGTAGATTTATGGAAGTAAAATGCTATAATCATTTGGCGGATGGCACTAACCTTTCAGCTTCACCACTAGGCATTATAGCTGGACCAGTAGAGAGACTAGTTCCAACAACAAGAACTTGTTCGTATCCAACTTTTACCAACTCCATGCATTTTCCTATCTCCCCTGGCTCAAACTTAAAGGAAGACAACACCGATCCGCTGAGAGGATCTACGCAACAGACATCAGATGAACATAAATCATCACTGAGATCAGTCCGTAATACAAGCAACAACCTACTGTCACTATGATATAGAACCTTTCGAGGAGTGCCGCCAAAATGAAATTTCTGCACATTAAGCCGTTTACTAGGCACCATCTCCACCTGAAACAAAAAAATAGACGGCCTCTTTGACTGACTATTAAAGGTGTAAAAAGACCAAGATCGATATATACAACTAAACACAGTCAACCTCCCTCATTCCATCCTTTGCTTTTCGCTTCTTTAGTTTTCATTCTCTATTATTTTCTTCTTTTTTTGGGTGTGATGTGTGTGTGTTTGGAAGGGGGGGGGGGGTGTGGAGGAATTGGAGATGAGGAGGGAAGGTCATGCAAACGGAAGTGGCATGAATAAAGTGCCATTGAATATCCGCCATCAACCGGATATGAGAACATCGAGAAGAAATCCTATGTGGCTTGTGCTTGCTTTTCCAACATATAATATGTAAACTACAAGTGCAACTAGGGAGGTGATGTACCAATGTTGAGCTCTGTTAACTATAATGAGGCTTTTCTCTTACCAAATGAAGACTGTTTTCAGCAACAAAGATAATTCCCTTGGGACATTCAGTTGAACAGACTGGAGTAACATGTGTGGAAGGTGGAAAAGAGATTGAAGTATACGAGAGGCTATGCCTTGCAGTTTGCAATAACCAGGGCCTATCGCTTAGAGCGATCACATCAGCATCAAGAGAGTCATTCAATGGAACCAGAAAAACAGGAGTTATGCCAATCCGACGAACTGCAACTAATTGCAGATAAACAGGAGAATCCTTCGTCTTATCCAATAAACTGGACACTTGCATAGGTTGAGTTCTAAAATTCTGAGATGCAAAAGTTGAGGAACCACTGGAATTAGCCATACAAGAATTGTCAAAAGTTTGAAGGCCAGGCGACTCAAGTGAGGCAATTATCGAGGCAGAGGGCCACTCAAATCTGAGTAGCATACCGTTCCTTAATCCTGAAAGAACATAAAGCCGATCAACGAGTACAAGTCTTACATCTTGAGGAATGCAGCCACTTATGGTTGTTCCAAGAGTGTTTGTTAAGGTTATAGACCCAATGGCAAGAACATTCACGCCTTTATCAGAAGTAAATGACAGAACTTCCACAGAAGGCTTATGTGTACCAATAATGAAGGTGTTACTAATGTCCAATCCGGATGGAAGAGAATCCAAAGGAACTCCATTTGTATGACTAGTTTTAGATATAAAAGGTGTTTGCTCAAGCCGGGGGATTGAAATGCAGGATAGTTCATCTTGCAATCTCACATGTTTCATCTGGTATATTTCTTTATGATGGGCTGATAAGGTCCTGATGCCAAGAATAAATAAGAAGCATGGACTGGAAGTTGCAACAACTATCAAATTAGGCCCAACAGCTCCAAGGCTTATTGTCATATTATCAGGGGACCATGAGGTGAAAGTTGGTGATGACGAATCAATACCATCTGGATGTGCAGCAATAGTAGGTACACACAGTCTCACAGCAGTCTGGTGGATTTGCACCAGTAAACCATCGCCCACAAGACCACAAGCCAACGTGCAAACATCCGGCTGGAAACCCATGAAGTCAGTTACATCAGAAAAGCTCACACCAACAGATAGAACCCTGGTCTCTTCAACAAATGATAGTACAAGGAAAGAATGATAAGAATCAGCCATTTTCATTTTCACAGTCCAAGTTCCAGTAATACCCTGATAAATAGGTGCAGTTCTCAACAATTTCTCTACGCTGATGCCACTGCGTATAACTCGTAAAGATCCTTCAGGTGCCATCCCACAGCAGGCAAACATTTGATCATGTTTCTCATCATGGTAATCCACAACGGACATATCCAATATTGGTGCGATATTTTGGATTGGACTTCTATAAACAAGTTTTCCCTCTTCAACTTTTAACACCATCCCATCACCCATCTCAATGATAACTGCCAAAAACCCACCTCTCACCCACAAAAGTGCCTTGGCTGGTTGAGTCTTGTAAAGACAATCAGACAGAGATATTTTCAGGCCATCAGAATCAAATAAAAAATCAATCAGGAAAAGCTCTCCAGAATCAGCACAAAATATCATCCTAGGACTGTGATCATTTCCAGGATTCCAACTCCATGAGCAGACAAAATTTGAACCCGGTTTTACATTGCTATCATCATCAATGTTCATTGGGTCATTTTTATTCAAGTCGCTAAGCTCAAGCAATGCAGATGCAGCAACGCTATACATACCGTCTTCGTCAATAATATCGGGAATTCTAATAGCCTCTTCTACAAAATTCTGCTCCTCAACTGAAGGTGGTGTAAAATTTAAACTTATTCGATAAAGAAAACAAGGGCTGTGAGGATCTCTAAAGTCCATCACAATAGCATCCCCAGCACGAAATACTAACAGGATTCCATAAGAATGAGGAACTTCTACGATATGATGTGCTAGTGGTCCAGGTTCAGAATACTGATATATTACATGGAGTGAATGCTCCTTCATATTCCACTCTATCAACATGAGCTCAGTCCTATATGATCTCCTCCTGCAGGGCCAAATTTGAAACATCATATCAATACTAGCATAGCAGAAATTAGAAGATGATGATTTGTTATATACAACTACAAAAGAGAAAACCCACTTTCCATCACAAAGCCAGTTTAACGATTGCGAATCTGACAATTAATTATGTTTGCGAACTTATCCATCATCCTACCTATTGAGAAGAATGGCCAATACAGGATTGTGCTCCTTATTTGGTTGACGAACATCTGTTGAGATGAAGCACATGCTCCATATGGTACCACAGATACTGGTGAAACCACTGGCAGTCTCAATCTTCCCTTGATTGTCAGTCGGACAAAAGATTCTCTAATATCATTATTTAAAGCAAATCAGTAGAATAGAACATAGCTATCCAAGTGGTTAAGTTGCATACATATCTAGCACGAAATGTATGCAAAAATATTAACCTTATCAAGTATATCACTGCCAGCTGAAGCAGAGCGGGAGAAAAGAGCCAATCTGTCTTCATATGCACTAGCAGCAATGAAACAGCCACTGCATAGGGCAGAATAAGAAATTACCAACATGGACATGTAAGAATCTTTAGGTAGTAGCTGAAGGTGACTGGTTTCAATTGTTGCCAACCATTTAATTAGTTTCATTTGTCCATCAAAAATACAACTTACCTGGAATCAATAGCCAACATCCTTCCAATTTGATGCCTTGGATTTCCAGGAGATGAAAGTTGAACATGTGTTACAGCGAAAAACCTATGTGAACAATGCAAAGGTACGCCTTTAATGAAAAGGATGACTGTCTTGGCTAAATCAAGATTTTAAAAAGAATTCACTGCTCCTTTTATGTGTAACAAAAATAAAAGGAAAAAGATACAGTTGAGAAACAATTAACCTGTGCATTTCATTGCAAAATCTGAGAACTGAGAGCTTCCCTGAATCCGAAATAACAACCAGGAGATCCTTGCTCAAAAGCTATTTAAAAGAAGAAGTGAAAGGAAAATGCCATGAGTATAGAATCTTAGAAATAAAGGATAAGTTGAAAGGAACAATCTAAGACACCTGCGGGCTTCCAGCAGGGAACTTCTCATTCCAGGGCAGCACAGCTATATCTTTTATTATGCCAAATACAGGCTGCTCACAGATAGATTGCACAATTCCATCTTCATCTATAATCACCAACTCTACAGATGTTTCCTGCATCAAAATACATTGTCATATTACATACTGAAACTTGCTAAATAGAACTGTAAACCGAGTAGCTAACATTCAACATGTTGAAGCCCATATGCAAAGTATCCAATAGAAGCAGTTAAGCATGCAGCACACCCGTGCTATATAAGCATAGGATACTATAATTCATCTAGAAATCAAGAGAACATGCAAGTGCTACTAAAAAACATATTTTAATAAAATACAAGGCAGTAAACAACAGATTAATCCTGGTTGACCCCTTTATGCACCCACAAGGCTCCTTTTTGTATAGAATATTGGGTGTTATTTATAGAGAACCACATCTCTTATGTCGGCTCTCTATTTCTTTCGCTAACTGCTTGTATACGGGAGTGTCCAAATTAACAAAATTTTATATACCTTACAAAAACTGATAGTATGCGAACGCCAAAAACCCAAAAAACAAGGATGCAAAACGCCAAATACCAATACTTACCTTATAGGGAAAAAAAAAAAGCAGCAAAAACCAATACTAGCTACAAGGTTGACTGGGAATATCTATTGGTTAACGCATCTAAAGGAAGGATAACAAAATTGTTAGCTACAAGGTTGAGCAAGAACATCTATTGGTAAAAGCATCTAAGCTTTACTTGTTGTCACGTTACATGGACTCGATACAAGCATCCAATACGGGTATCAATCTAGAAGCCAGATTCGTCAACACCTAAATCTTAAGATTCAGAGATACAACAGAGGGCAAAATGGTTGGGTGGTGGCTAAAAATTATGACAACTTCTATAACATAGAATTGTTTAATGCAACTACGATAGTGTAATTAATTGAACAATAAATGATATTCCCATGTGAGTTTGTATGTTTTTTTCCAGTTGTTTGCTACAAGAGAGCCTTATTAATGGATTGTGAATAATTTTGAGATGAAAACCAAGCAAAAAGTAACATACTGAAAGTTAGATCAACATGATCAGATGATAGGGATGAAAATTACAAGTAAAGCATCTCCCATGAAATGGCTGTAAAGATATGTACAGGAAGATCAGGGAACCTGGAAGAAAGTGGTGAATGCAAGGCAACTGGTGCACAAAGTCTCTAGCCAGCACATGAGGTTGGACCTTGGAGAAACATAATCAGACTATGGGGAGAGTTCCGCCAGAATAGCAGATTTCAGATAGGAAATGGTGCAAATGTCAAGTTTTGGGAAGATAATTGGCTAGGGGACTCAACTTTGCAAAATGACTTCTCAAATATCTATCAAATAGCAAGCAGAAGTGACTACTACTATCTCTCAGAACAGAGCATACAACACCTGGAATCCAATTCTCAGAAGGAATGTGCAGGATTGGGAATTGGGTGAGCTACTCAGCCTCTTAGATGGATTGGGAAGATGTATGGCCAATGAGCAGGTTCCAGATAAACTCATTTGGGGAACAAGAGCTAAAGGAATCTAGACAGTGAAAGAGGGATACTGACACAGCACTAGCCAGAATGAAATGGTGGACAATTGGCCTAGGAAGCTTATCGGTAAAACAAAACTACCCCCTAAAGTTATCTGTCACAGTTGAACTGCATTGAATGAAGCTTGCCTCACTCAAGACAATCTGTGCAAAAGGAGTATTCCCACAGTTAACAGATGCTACATGTGTCATCAAGATTTTGAAACAAACAGGCACCTTTTTTTGCATTGTTCAGTAACTTCAGACATTTGGAACATGTTCATTTCAGTGCTTGGACTCAATTGGGTGACACCAGAAAGTATTAAAGATGCTTACAGCAGCTGGAGCTTATGGAAAGTTGATAAATCCATCAGGAAGATCTGGAAAATGATTCCTGGATGTATCTTTTGGACAATTTGGACAGAAAGGAATAGAAAATGTTTTGATGGAATATCAACTCAACTTACTCCCTCAAGGCTAATTGTTTAATTTTGTTATGTAGCTGGAGTAATCTCTCCCCTCTTTAGCTCACCTGAGTCATTTTTGGATTTTGTTTGCTCCCTATCCTTAGCATAGGATTATCTGTAATAGGGCTAGCAAACTCTCTTTTGTATTAGCGCCTGCACAATGCTCTACTTTGCATCTTCTTGATGCTTTTGATAATATCTCTTACTTCATCAAGAAAAGAACATCTCCCATCAAATACATTGCCTCAACCTCCAACCTATCCCCCCACCCCCAAGAAAAGGTCTTTTAGCAAGCAAACAAAAACTGATACAAAAGGCAATTTCCTACAGACCCAATCCAGCTTGGTTATTGATAGAGTGAATAAATCTCACACTTACATTCAAGCTTTTGATTGCAAGCTCAACCTATAGATGATCTTCATTCCCCCTCATTCGCCAAGAGCGAAAATAGAAGTTTATATGACCATCATTCAATTAACTGATCTTACCTGATAGGGAATATCAACAAATATATGTGTCATTTTTACTCTCCAACGCTGCTAAAGACATTTTTTGGTCGGTACACCGTTATTCAGACAATTAAGAATGAGACTTTCTTCCACTGGTACTAATTCCCTAAACAACAGAAAGTTCAATTTGCATTTGCTTCAAGGCGCAGTGCATGTATGCTCTACAAGTTCAATGTGCAGTGAGGTCAGGTTAAATTCAGCAGACCAGATCTCAATTTGACCTTGATCTTGTAGATTTCTCTTCCTACTACTGGAATCGGGTGGTGGTGGCTGGTGGGTAAGGGATTTCAGTACGCAGATAGCAACCTGGAAGCTCCTCTAATTTAATTACTAAGTCTTGTTGGAAGTGTTTATAAGATTGTGGCCAAACTGCTAGCAGAAAGGTTGAAGAAGGTTATCGATAAAGTGTAAACTTGTCTCCAATCATCAGAATGCCTTTATCGAACATCGAACATAGATAAATCACTGATGCAGCACTTATAGCCAATGAGGCTTTAGATTGGAGGATTAAAACCGGGGATCCTGGCATTATGTGCAAGTTGGACATAGAGAAGGCTGTTGACCAACTGAACTGGTCCTATCTAATCTCTATACTGAGGAAGATGAGATTTGGAGACAAATGGATAAGGTGGATCAGATTCAGCATTTCAACAGTCAAGTACTCAGTGTTAGTCAATAGAGAACCAATGGGTTTCTTCTCTCCCAAAAAGGGACCAGGTAAGGAGACCCACTCTCCCCATTCTTGTTCATTCTAGCCATGGAGGGACAAAGCACGATGCTGGAAAAGGCCAGAGCAATGCAGTGGATTCAGGGATTCAGAGTAGGCTCCAATATTGGGAACTCGATCACTATTTCTCACCTGCTATATGCTGATGAAACTTTGATCTTTTGTGAGGCAGATAAATCACAAGTTATGCACCTGAACCTCACACTTCTCCTCTTTGAAGCTTTGTCAGGGTTACATGTCAATGTGTTGAAAAGTATAATTTACCCTATCAATCATGTGCCTAATGTAGAGGAGCTCGCATGCATTATAGGTTGCAGTATTGGTGTACTCTACCTACCACATACTTGGGTCTACCACTGGGTGCCAAATTCAAGAATTGTGAGATATGGAATGGGGTTATTGAAAAACTTGCGAAGAGATTAACTTCCTGGCAGCTTCAATATATATCCGTAGGTGGCAAATAACTCTCATCAGTAGTGTGCTTGACAACTTACCAACATACTACATGTCATTGTTCCCCATCCCAAGGAAGGTGCTAAAGCAATTGGATAGAACCAGGAGGAATTTCCTTGGGGAAGGTAATTGCAACACCCACAAGTTTCATCTGATAAAGTGGGATAAAGTCATTCAGCCAAAATGCAATGGAGGTTTGGGAGTCAGAGATCTAGCAACTGGGAGGTTCATCTTAGAAGAGTTGTGCAGGACTGGGTATGATGGATATGCTAGCAAAAGTGGAGTGGTACAATATTGATGTGAGCCAACCAAATACCATATATTGGGGGAATAAGGGCACCTTCACAGTAAAAGAATGCTACAGACAGATTGGTTCCCAGAACCAGGTGAATGATGCATGGCCCTGGAGGCTAATGAGGAAGACCAAACTACCTATTAAAGTTATTTTTCATAACTGGATTGCCCTCAATGAGGCCTGCTTAACACAAAACAACCTCAACAGAGGAGGTTTCCACCTGGTCAATAGGTGTTATCTATGTTTGGAAGATGCGGACACTGTCAGCCACCTGTTTTTGCACTGCCCAGTGGCAAATGACCTTTGGAATATGTCCCTCTACATTTTTGGCTAGATTTGGATCATGCCACAGAATAAAAGAGGCACACATTAGTTGGTGTTTATGGAGAGTTGATAAAACCATCAAAAAGATCTAGCTGACGATCCCCGGTGCTATTATTTGGTGTTTATGGATCTCTTTTTTGTTGGACTAAGTTAATTGTTGTAATTAGCAGTGACCAATTTCTGAACTTTGTTTGCTCCCTTGTCTTAGATTGACATTGTAAAGAGATTTGCAATTCTTGTTATTTCTGCATTTCAATACTTTTGTAACTTTGCATCTTCTAGTTGCCTTTTGCTAATGGAACACCTTATTTCATCAAAAAAACTTACTAAAGGCAGTAAGTTGTCTATGGAGAAAGGTAGATAGACTTTCTCAGTACTAATAAGTTTGACATAGTACTATATTTCGGAAAAAAACTAATTTCTAATAGGTGTCACAGGCCAAAAATCATAATGGGAGTAGGCCAATTTTATTTTTGGACCAAAACACTTGACCAACAAAATTTTCATCAAGAGGAGACAAAATTATCGAAAGCTTTTGGCATTAATAAAAGCCAAAGGAGCTTAGTGAGATTGCCAAAACCCTCTGAGGTACGTCTCTACGAATCTATGATAGAAAATTGACAAACCGATGCCACCAGGTTCCATACAACATAATGCAAAAGAAAATAAAAAAGAGAACTTCCTTCTAGAGATTGAATATGTAAGTGAAAAGAAGAAAGTCACAACATACTATTACAACATTCCTTAAAAACTTAATCTACAAACTTAAACTCTATTTCTTTTTCTTTTTTTTTGATAAAGCAAACTCTATTTCTTACTTCTACATACGGCTATTCCACTTCTTCCCTCTAATTATCCCACAAAATAACTAGATCATGGTTGAATTCGTATTGACATAAAGATTTAAATCATGACACTTTCCTCTCATAACCCTTTCAAGCATCAAAAGGAGAAGAGAGGCTCACAATGGGGTTTGTAAGATTCATAAAAAGGAATAGTGGTGCAAGACTTTCCGGTTATTGACCATTGGTGCAACCCACTTGCTTCAAATAGAACACAAGGGGGGAGACTACAGAAAGAGCACCTGGCAGCCCAAATAGTTACACATGCATGTAAAAGAAAAATTGGGCTATGCATCGATCGGCGGAATTTGAGCACAACATACGTACCCAATGCTTATGCTTTCTGGGTTCAATTTCATAATGTCACTAGCAGACTTCATTTATTAAATTTGGTCTAACTATTTTACAAGCTTACGTTTCACGATCTTAATCTAATTTCAAATAAAATTAAATCAATCAACTATGCCCCCAATCACATAGCAATCATTTTTTTCTTTAAGTTAATACATCCTTAAAGACGGGAGGTTAGCCTGCGCCTTACGAGTATATTAATATCCAAAAGATAAATATATATAGGAGGGGAAGTGGAAGCCTAACCTCCTCTTTGAAATAATCATCCTCATTCCATTACAAAATACTTTCAGATATATAAGTATTCATCCGAATTATATTTAGAAACTTTAAATCTAAAGGATTGATAGTCCTTATCTACATTAAGCAATCCAGTAAGAAAAGCAACCGGAGTAAGCCATATGCCTTTTTTTTATATCAATTTTGCTCTGTCCTGGTCAATTTCATTCCAATAATTTCGAAGCAGATAATCACACATTGAAATTAACATTTAACACAACTAATCTGCAAATGAAGTTTTAAGAAAATGAGCTACCTTGCCAAGAACGACGTCGTATGAAGTAGAAGAGCGGATACGGCCATAAACGACTTGCAGAACAACACTACCTCTGAGAACAGTCTTAGCTAAATAAGAGGCGCCACGAGAAGCAGCTGATTGTGACTTGCTGCTGCAACCGGCAGAGGATGAAGACGAGGATTCTTCCTCCGAAACCGCCATTAATAGCTGAGATTTGATTCAGTTTTTCCAATTCGTCGCCAGTGAAAAATCGACTCAAAGATACGAGATTCGAAGAATTCCGACCATAGGTCTGTGGTATGAGAAAGAAGCCTAAAGGTGGTAACACCCTGGCTTATGAGACTGATAAGAGGGGAATGATGTTACGCCCCGTGTTTTTGTACATAAGAATACATCATAAGTCAATTAATGTAAGTTTAGAAAGGGAATAATTTTTTAAAAGTTTACAAAGTTAGTTCATCATGTTAACGTGGAGGTTACAAATATTTAAGATCATTAGTACCAAGTAGCAACAGGGTTTGAAGGCTTAGAAGCTAAACGAATTGAAGAAAATAAGTTTCGTCGAAAGTCGACAAGATGGAATGTTTTACCATGTACTTTTAGGGTGATACTAGGGTTATTAACATTATAAGGAGATTATATTATGAGTTGTTTTAGTCGTACAGTAGTTGGTGTTATGTTTTGAAGTCAAGGGAGTTGTGGAACAAAAGTTGGAAAAAGGTCATCACAAGTTCCATTCATAAATGTGCTGAAAATTAGGTCAAATGTAACTGAGTTTTTCTCCCAATATACTTGGAATTAGGGGATGATCTACCTATCAAATTNTACCCGGCCATCATAAGGCTCGGTAGAATCATACCCGGCCACGTGGAGCTTGGTAAACCCAACTGATCAGTGGTTGCACAATAGGTGCCATACCCGGCCGACTATAGCGCGGCTCGGTAGAGTAAAATAGATACATATATATAATGCATGCTCGACTCATGGAATCAAGTTCTAAACCTTTTGGAGTGACTTAAGAACATTATGGACATCCCTACCATCAATATGAACCTTAGTAGGATTTAAGGATTATACCACTTGTTTAGAATAACTTTATAAGGAAAGAACAACATGGACAACCTTAGTTTCTAGGAGTAGATCCGTTATGAATTAGCGTACCGTTTATGTTCATGTCACTTTACATCATGCCAAAAGAAAGAAGTAAGAGCCTTAACATACCTTGTATATACTGCCCCAATCTCAAGCTATGCAATTTTCACGACTCCTTAGTCTACAATAAGAGAAACGATACTGTAGTTATCATTCAAGCGTCATAACTATTATGTATCGACCACAACCTATTTTACGATGAAACGGACAACACCTCCCCTATATATATGACTTCACACAATTCCAAACAATCACAAAACAGCCCAAACAACATCAATAATAATCATATTGAGCCTCCCAAAACAGTCCACGCACAACCTAATCACTTCATACATACGACAGCCACCGTAGTCGTGTCAAACGACCCGGAAATGTTACGAAGAACTACCAGCCCACAACCCTACATCTATATGGTGTTTTTCCACTTCCTTCTTCCTCCAAAACTCCACAAAACAGTAGTAAAACACGCAGCCCAACAGCAACACAAAACAGTCCACAAAACAGTGCGCTACAAATGAATAACTCGAACTCACGGCTTCCGATCACCGTCCCGTGAGTTCTTACATGTATAGAACGAATTACCATGAATTCACAGCAGAATAAATGTATGAAACAGAGCAGTAAACTCACCTTACTTGTTGGATAACTCAGCCCTTCCCTTGGTTCTTCAAACTCTAGGTTTTATCCCCAATTAGAACTTGAAAGAGAGGGAAAATCGATTAAGGTTTGTGGATAATTTTTGGGAGGATGTTTGCAGGGGTTTAGGTCTGGTTATTTGTGATATATAATGATGGTTATATTGCAGGAGATAACCCTTTAAATGGGCTCTTTGGCCGACCCGAAATTTCCTATTTTTGGGCTATCATTTAACCAAGTAGGTGACACACCTACTTGTCACCTAGCAGCTTGTGCAGTCTCGCAAAAATACCTATATCTCTCTACTCCGATGTCGTATCGATGAACGGTTTAATGAATTAGAAACTAGAGTCATAGATATTTAATTTGATAGGTAGATCATCCCCTAATTCCAAGTATATTGGGAGAAAAACTCAGTTACATTTGACCTAATTTTCAGCACATTTATGAATGGAACTTGTGATGACCTTTTTCCAACTTTTGTTCCACAACTCGCTTGACTTCAAAACATAACACCAACTATTGTACGACTAAAACAACTCATAATATAATCTCCTTATAATGTTAATAACCCTAGTATCACCCCAAAAGTACATGGTAAAACATTCCATCTTGTCGAGTTTCGACGAAACTTATTTTCTTCAATTCGTTTAGCTTCTAAGCCTTCAAACCCTCTTGCTACTTGGTACTAATGATCTTAAATATTTGTAACCTCCACGTTAACATGATGAACTAACTTTGTAAACTTTTAAAAGATTATTCCCTTTCTGAGCTTACATTAATTGACTTATGATGTATTCTTACGTACGAAAATACGGGGTGTAACATCATTCCCCCCTTTGGAACATTCATCCTCGAATGTTGATTAATGCGCTTATCAGTCTCATAACCTTTAGCTCTTAAGAATTCTTTATTATTGTCCTTGACATCTAGGAAACTGTTCTGTAAATAAATGCAAAGGCCAGGGTGTTCCCACCTTTAGGCTTCTTTCTCATACCACGACCTGTGGTCGGAATTCTTCCAATCTCGTAACTATTGTTACCTTTTGTCATGCATCATGTACAACTGTGTACTTGTATGTGTGACTATGCGACTCTTCTCTCCTTTTCCCTCCAGTTTCTATCCAATCTTTAGGCCTCACTTTGTGAACATATACATAACTATGACAAGATGTCCCTCTAGGCATCTATAGGTGTACTAAAGTTCTTCGCTTGGTACTTTATCGAACTTACGACTATTGCTATATCTTGTTTCATAGCCTTGTATATTTATCCTTATGGCTTTACTACATCTAGGTAGGTTATACTATACCATAACACTTACTTCGGTTTATTATTACCGAAGTTTGCTACCCAACTCCAGGTTACTCTCTCGCTGCTTATCCTATATGTATAGATCTAAGTCATTTAATGCTTCCTTATTACTGTTCATCTAAATAATGGCATCATAATCTCCTCTCATATGTTGGAACTCTTATCCATCTATTATTGATTCACCTTAATGTTGATCTATAATCCACCATTGATAACTTGAAACCTCTTACGTAATACATTGTCACTAAGGCTCACATCTCATCGGGGAATATCTATGTTCACCTTGGAGACCTGATGCGGTTATGAGTACGACCGGGCGTGGACGGCACTCGGTCCTCCGGATTTTCAAGGGCCGCCGGGGGCGGCACCGGACACCACGCGACGTGCGGTGCTCTTCCAGCCGCTGGACCCTACCTCCGACTNGTCCGATCCACCTAGGGACGATACTATACTTTCATAACCATATTTCATAGCATCCTATCATGATTCATCTTATGGGGGTATTCCAATCCCGTGCAATTCATAAAATCCCTTTTCTTTAAATTATTCCTCAATCAAAGGCCTAAATGTCATCCTCGTAGCTATCACAATTACACCCTTATTCTACTACCGGGGCAGCATTTCATCTCTTCTAATTGCTCCTAGTCTTAGACTCCTTTGTGTCTATTCAGGCTGTACCGAGCTTTTTTTATTACATATGGAAATCATCAGCTCCCTTGTTTTGATGGGTTTAATCCCGAGGACATACATATTCTCGTCACCTTCTCACTCACCTTTTCACATCCTTACTCCTATCCACCTAAAACCTTGTTGCTCTACAATACTTTACTTTAGGACCTACACCGATCTATTTATACTACTCGCAACCTTCCTTAAACTTGCTACCAACAAAAATTTCCTCCGGGTGTACGATATAACAAGCTCAGAACCTTACAAGAGCCAGAAGGTCTCCCTAAGTACTACAACGAAAGACTAGCTGAGGAAATAAGGAAGAAGGTTTCCACCTGAGCATAGTGAGCAAAAAAGTAAATGATCTTGTAGCAACAGTCTCACTACAATATTGTGTACATTCCATAAGAAAGTGGCACCTATCGTGGCTAATGAACGGGAAAAAAAAAATCAAAGGGGATGTTTGAGATCATATGAGGTACAGGAAATTACAGTATTCGTGGGCAAAAAGACAGGCCAAGTATTCATGCAACAAGTGATAGGACGACCAGCAAAAGTAATTGCTTACATTTAAGGACAACTGAGAAGGCACATAGGGTTTAATGCATGAGTTGAGTTTGCAGTGAATGTAATCAAGCAGTACAAGTTTGGGGGAAGAAGAGAAAGCTTTCTGGATGTTACTATTAGCTACTCATACTCACCAGGAATAATCGTAAGTAGGAGGAGGAGTCAGTCATTCCATGTGCCCTTCGCCTGAGGGACCAAATCGAAATCTTTACACTTTGTTTGTTCTTTTTTTTTTGTAAATTTATATTATGTTATCTTTTTAAATATATATTTTTTAGATCGGAACCAAAATGTATTTTTTTTGGACTCAAAGAACAAAAATATGTGAAAAAAACTTAGTGACCAAAATATATATAACATTTTTTGGAACCACGCTATACTTTAACGGCCGTTTGGCCAGTTAAGCATAGCGTTTTTTCAAAAAATATTATACTTGAATTAATTTAAGCGGAAAAATAGAGCGTTTTTGTTAAGACGCTATATATATAACGTCTTAACAAAAGATGCTATATATATAAATATATCGTCTTCTTCCCTTCCCCCAAAACAGAATCGCCCCCCCCCCCCCCATTTTTAAACCAAAAAAGCTTGAGTGGGGCCCACCCGTCCCACAAAAAGTAAAGATTCTCGGTCCCACGTGCTAGCTAAGGCGTTATCTCGGACGTTGTTGCTTGTTTCGGCTCAAAATCACAAATCTTCGACTTTCTAAAAACCTTAAATTGAGGTACTTCGACTTAGTTTTTGTTAAAACTTGTATAAAAAATACAAATTAGTTGTTTTTTATGTGATCTATGTTATTTTGTGATTGTTTTGCGATTTAACTAATTTGTTGTTTTTTATCTGGACTATAGTATTAGTGTGCTAAAAAAAATTGCAAAATAGAGAAATTGTTATTAGTTGTTAAAAAAAATGTTAGTTAGTTACTTTTTATTGTGGTATATGTAACTTCGTGATTGTTTTGTGATTAAATTGATTTGTTGTTTTTATCCGGTTTAGATTATTAATTTGCTAAAAGACTAGTAAACTAGA